CTGTCTCTCTTCCGAGATATGAAGTGATTTTTCATTTCGTCTCTGGGTCTTCGAAGGCCTTAAAAGCCCTGGCTCTTTATCATAAAGGCTGTACGCAGAAGTGGAAGGGGGAATGATATGAGTATTTTATTTGGGGGGAGGGGGAATCAATGGTCCTCATGAATGCAGCATCCACACAACCAAAACAACAACGCATCTCCCAGATTTGCACTTTTCAGAGAAAATCTCATCAATTAAAAAAAGCCTGTTGCAAACAATCCTGTCATTAACGATGCAACTCATGCAAATTATTTTAATGTTTCTGTTGATTATGTGTTATGTTTTTATATTACCTTATTTTTGCGAACCACCCTTCAGCCATTTTTGGTCACTCCTTGAACTTGTCCAATTTGCCCATTCTTCTTTAAAGCCGTCCAAGTTGGTGGCCTTCACTGCCTCCTGGGCGAGGGAGTTCCATAGTTTTACTATGTGATGCATGAAGAAGTGTTTTCTTTTTTCTGTCCTGAATCTTCCAAGGGTCACCATCACTGGATGTCTACAAATTCTAGTGTTATGAGAGAGGGAGAAAAACTTTTCTGTATCCGCTTTCTCTGTGCCACACACCATCATTTTACCCGTCTATCACGTCATGTCTTCTCACCATTTCTCTAAACTAAAAAGTCCCAAACACTTCAACCTTTCCTCACAGGGCACTTGCCAGTGTGGTGTAATGGTTAAGAGCGGTGGACTCATAATCTGGTGAACTGGGTTTGATTCCCCGCTCCTCCACATGCAGCTGCTGGGTGACCTTGGGCTAGTCACACTTCTCTGAGGTTTCTCAGCCTCACTCACCTCACAGAGTGTTGGTTGTGGGGGAGGAAGGGAAAGGAGAATGTTAGCCACTTTGAGACTCCTTCGGGTAGTGATAAAGCGGGATATCAAATCCAAACTCCTCCTCCTCCTCCTCTTCTTCCATCCCTTTGATCCCTTAAGATATCACAGTGACCTGCTTGCAAATTAAGCTCTCATCTAGAAGTGTCCTGTGTTGCTCATTAACTCAGGTGGATGCTTGAGTGATGCATATCCAGCGATGAAAGTATTGTTTCAGAAGATGACATTTTGCCAGCAGGGTGTGTCAGGCTTTGTATCAGCATCCTTGGTCTGCTGCTGGGCCCAGTTCCCATCCAGGATCTACTGTTGATGCCTACTGCAACCTTGGATAGCTCTGTGGTATGCCTAGGACACAGCCCTTCCCCTCCTAAGGAGCTATTGCAGGGGCCTAAAGAGTTTCCCATATGAAGTATGGGAAAGAAATAAAATATTATTGGAAAAGAAAACACCATGGTGGATTTCACCCACTGAGGTATTGACGGTTAAAAAATTAAATATGGAGGGAAGGTGGGTTACTGTCAGGGAACTGCCATCAGTGCCGGAGGGAGAGAGCAAGATCCAGAGGGATTCCAGAGAGCGTCCCGGGATTGGGAGAGGCAGCCCATCTTCTGGGGAAGAGAATCAGCGTAGCACCAGTGGAGAAGGGGGGCAGATGGGGGAAGCGGCGAGGCGGTCCCATGACTCCTTGTCGGGGACCGGCGGGGAGAGTAGGGGTCCTCCGCTGCCTACGCCCTCCTTGCGCAGAAGGCTTTCGCGCAGAGAGAGTAGGAGGAGACTAGGCGTCAAAGAGCTTCTTTGCTGGAAGAAGTTTAAGAAACGCCCACTGACGGATTCTGCCAGCGTTTGAGACAGCCACGGGTGAGTTGGTGTCCGGACAGAAAAGGTTCACTCAGGCAACCCAGCCAGGTGTTTGCACCGGCTTACGCACGAGCAACCCCTAGAACCATTACAGCTACATATGAAGAGATTTTGATGGAAACCAAGCAAGGTCGAAAACTTAAGCCATATGATCAAATTGAAGGTTTATTTACAGGTCAGTTGCAATATCAAGTGAATGATATATTTAATGTAGATAAGAGGAAGGTTGGTTTTGAAAATAAAAAATCAAGGTTCCAAATCGAGCTGTTGGAAGGTAGAAGTAAATTATTATACAAGATGTACAATTTGTTGTTAGAATGCTTTACTAAAGATAAGGAAGTAGAAGAAGTTACGATAAAATAGGCACTAGATTTTGGGTATAACATTGAATATGATTCAGGGATAAGATTGTGGAATGAAAATTTAAAATTTACAGCAGGTATGGCATTAAAAGAAAATGTAATGAAGATGATGTACAGATGGTATTTGACACCAGTTAGCTAAATGTATAGAATCAGAGATAAAACATGCTGGAAATGTAAAGAATCAGACAGTAACTTTTATCATATGTGGTGCACCTGTGACAAGGTAAAAACATTATGGGAATTGATCTATAATGAACTAAAAAAGATGTTGAGATACACCTTCCCCAAAAAACCGGAAGCATTTTTGCTAGGTTTGATGGGAGAGGAAATTGCAAAGATAGATCAAATATTGTTTATGTATACCACAGTTGCAGCGAGAACTTTATTGGCCCAAAAGTGGAAGTTACAGGAGGTGCCTACCATTGCTGAGTGGCAGGCGAAGATGATGGACTTTGCAGAACTGGCCAGACTGACTTGCAGGACTTGAGACCAGGACGATCAGAAATTCCAAGGGGACTGGAGTAAATTTATTGCATATTTGAATAAGAACTGTAAAAACTTGAAAACACTAGCAGGATTGAAATAAATCCTACAGTATGGACAATAGGTTAAAGATGTAAATTGTGCGATTGGATTAGAAATGGAAAACCTGCTCAATGGAAGGAGGGAAGTCGTATGCTCGGCAGAGCAGAGAGGTTTTGTGTTTGATATTGTAATGTTGCAACGTTGAAAATGTTGTTTAAGGAGGAAAATAATAAAAATATATTGAAAGGTGGGGGGACGGGTTTGGTCTAGGGAGATTGGGAGGGAGATTGGAGGAGATGTAACAGATCCAGAAATAAAAGAGACTGGAACCTACAGTGAGAAAGAAGGGAAGAGAAAGAACCACCCAGAGAGGATAGTAGAGCAGGAGTAGTCAGCGTGGTGCCCTCCAGATATTGTTGGAACACAATGGCTATTGGCCAGACTGGCTGGGGCTGATGGGAATTGCAGTCCAGTAACATCTTGAGGGCACCTGAAGTAGGAGGTTGCACAGGGTTCTGCATCACAGGGGGAACCAACAGCCAAAGGTCAGGATTCCCTTGTTAGACCTTCCTGCCTTGCATGGATGGCAGGGGAAAGAGCAATGGGGATGTAAGGGTGGGGTCAGTGGATGGGGCTCCACTCTTTCACCTATGCAGCCAATCAAAAGAGGGGAAGAGGGGAGCACCATCCAGTAGGCCCGCCCCCACAACCCCATTGGATTTGCCCCCTGCCACCCATGCAAGGGGAAGAAGGTCATGTTATTCACATGAGGGAATATCGTCCAAGTAGGACTTTTGTCATGTCTTGCCACATTTCATCTCAGAGTTGGCTACTGTCCTAGACAAGGAGACAAGAGCAGATTATTTGCTGATTTAGACCATTTATCTTGCTGGTGGAGTTTGAAAGATTGCTTCCCTGTGTTGAATTTGCATCCCTAGTTCTGGAAAGCAGACTTACAGATGGAGTTTATTTGTTTTACTTACTTATTTTTAGCTTTATAAAACTGCAGCTCTGCCCTGTAAGGTCGCTCAAGGTGCCTGGGAGTACAGCAATATAGAACAAATGCATTAAAAAGAAACTTTGCCGTGAGATGAAACACAGCCATAATAAAATCCGCCTCATAATAATAGCACCAGCAGAAGCCAGATGAAATCTGCCAGTATCCATTAACCTCCTCTAAATGTTAATTCCCAGTGGTCAGATATACAGGAAGTGGGTGATGAAAATAGGAAGAGCATTTGACTCTGGAACATTTCAATATTGTTTTAGGTTTATGGTGGGACTCTTCTAATTCCTGGGCGCAAGACATTGAATTGAGCATGTTAAAAAGACAAGCCAGGAACCAGACCGGGGGATGGCTGTTAAGATGGGTCCTTAACTGGGACAAAGGGACTGTCTGTGCGCCAGAGGGCAAATGGGAAGGGGCCCTCTCTCAACTCAGAATTAGTTAGAAAAACAAAAGCCTCTGGAGTAGAATTTTAGAGGTTTCCTGGGATGAGAGCTGGGGGGAAACAGGGCAGTGTTCAAAATGCTGTCAGCTGCAGAGCGTCAGAGAAGCATGTTGGATTTCTGATTGGATCCAATACTGCGACTTTGAGAGGAACAAGACCTTTTTAGGGAGTGAATGTTGTGAGTCCCTCCACAGTAGGCTCAGGTTGTACATACAGTGTTACCTTAGTTCTCAAACTCAACCCTTTCTGGAAGTCCGTTCGACTTCCAAAACGTTTGAAAACCAAGCCGTGGCTTCTGATTGGCTATTTGGCCCTGGAAACAATGCCAACAGCCGAAACGGGTATTCAGCTTCCGAAAGACGTTTGCAAAACAGAACACTTACTTTTGGGTTTGCGGCATTCGGGAGCTGATTTGTTCGTCAACTAAGCTGTACGGGAACCAAGGTTTCACTGTATGAGTAAATAAACCATATATCCTAAGGGCACCACAGTCTTTGCTGTGCCTAATTTCCAGGCCTGGGACCCATGGAATTGTGGAAGTTGGGGTGGCATGTAACAATATGTTCTTCTGTGGTTGAAATTTTATCAACATTTCCATGGAAGTAAGCTCCATTGACCATAATGGAGCTTCCTTCCAAGTAAACATTAGGTCCAAAAAGAGGAAATAAATCACCCAAAAAAGAAACTAATTTAAATCCCTTTGCTCTAGTGGGAGGAGGATTTAATTTGACTAAGCCTGCCTTTGTTAAGCTTAACCTCATAAGAATACTCCATGTCTCTAAGGCTCAGAGTGCTTTTATTATGTGCGGAGTGGCTTTCCCTCTCTACTGCCTAGCATAGCTGTGCTCTCTTATCTAGACTGAGGAGAAATGGCTTCCATATTTCTGTTATTGGAAGCAATAGTGTGAATAAAAGCTGTCCAGTCCAAAAATATGATTCAAAAGCTTTACCAACAGAACTTGTTTCAAAACAGACACTTAAAACAACAGTGTCACATCCAAATAGTTGCATAATATTATGTGCTTCTCCAAGCACAGGTACTGCATCTTAGAAATAGAAGATAGCTTTATCTGGAACTGAAATCAAAGCTCTGTCTCTCTCACAGCCTCCATTAGAAGCCTGAGGCTCTGTTCCTGGAGAGAATCATTTGCACATCCTTTCTTCTCCAGCGCTTCAGAGAGAAAACAAAGACCAACTCACACAAAACGAAGATTCGCAACTGAATATCCCACATGATATAAGCTAAATATGTCACGAGAGAGCAGCAGAGATACATTCTTGGTTAATTATAAACCTCTTAGGTACTCTGCTGCTCCTGCTTAGTTTCGATGGAATTTTCCAATGTTAAACCTTTAGCCATACACATACAGAGGTTTTTTTCCCCATTCCAATACACAAATAAACAAGTATACTTAACATTCCAGACCAGAGTCATGCTTGGCAGGCAGGTTTGATGTTTCTTTGAAAATTAACCACTGCTTTGGAACCTACACAAAGTTGCTTCCCCCACCCCCGAATAAATAAATAAATCCTCAGCATTCCTAATTGTCAGGACTGACCCAAGACATTTTGCTGCAGGTGGAACTTCCCTTCCCCCTATACCTCGGTTTAAGAAAAGTGCATACAGTGGTACCTCGGTTTAAGAACAGCCCTGTTCACGAATGATTTGGTTTACGAACTCTGCAAAACCGGAAGTAGTGTCCCAGTTTGTGAACTTTACCTCGGTCTAAGAACAGCATCCGAACAGTGGAAGGGCACCGGCAGTGGGAGGCCTCATTAGGGAAAGCGTGCCTCGGTTTAAGAATGGTTTCGGTTTAAGAACGGACTTCCAGAACAGATTAAGCTCATAAACCGAGGTACCACTGTAGTGTTCAAGGCCAGCCAAGTGACTGTGATTCAGCCCAGACATGGAGGTCCAGCTCCAAGGGCCTTCTGGTGGTTCCCTTACGGTGAGAAGTGAGACTACAGCGAACCAGGCAGAGGGCCTTCTTGGTAGTGGCACCCACCCTGCGGAACACCCTCCCTTCAGATGTCAAGGAGATAAGGAACTGTGCAACCTTTAGAATAATAATAATAATAATAATAATAATAATAATAATAATTTATTATTTATACCCCGCCCATCTGGCTGGGCTTCCCCGGCCACTCTGTGCGGCTTCCAAAAGAATATTAAAATACTATAATACATCAAACATTAAAAGCTTCCCGAAACAGGGCTGCCTTCAGATGTCTTCTAAAAGCCTGGTAGTTGTTGTTCTCTTTGACATCTGGTGGGAGGGTGTTCCACAGGGAAGGCGCCACTACCGAGAAGGCCCTCTGCCTGGTTCCCTGTAACTTGGCTTCTCGCAGTGAGGGAACCGCCAGAAGGCCCTCAGTGCTGGACCTCAGTGCTTAGAAGACATCTGAAGGCAGCTTTTAATGTTTTATGATGTTTTTGTATATGCTGGAGGCCTCCCAGAGTGGCTGGGACAGCCCATTCAGATGGGCAGGGTACACATTATTATTATTATTATTATTATTATTATTATTATTATTAGTGCTCGACATGAGGCAGAAAATCCCACAAGTGCGTCTCCCCAACAGTAAAAATATAATAAACAATCATAATATAATATACCATTTTCTGCCCTTTCGTAACACCCCAAATCAGCTGCTTGAGGTTGCAACCTCACCCTGTCAAATGGCAGGGCCGGCTCTGCTAATTGTCCGGCTGTTCTGCCAATGGAAGAAGGCGTGGAAACCCTTTCAGAAACACGGGGGGGCACTCACACATTACAAAAAAAGAGTGCATCACACAAAAGAGGACAAAAAGAGGCAGCTGATCTGCATAAAATGTGCATACTTTCACTTAAATGTCTGTTTAAGTATATACATGTTGGCAAAGTAGAAGAATTTAGAAAGAAGCCAGACCCTGGGAAGTTTCTTTTTTCCACTCTCTAGCAGGTTCTTGCAATCTTGTCTTTCCGCTTGCATTCTAAAGGGATGCTAATCTCCGTCAAGGTAAAAGGGGTGGCAGTGGACATCAGTCACACAGAAGCGCATGAGCTTTATCATTCTGAAATCTGTGGTTATTACAATAACTGCATAAACGCTGCAGCCAAATGGAGACTCATCAGAGATAAGGGAAACAAAACCTGCATAACAACGAAAGGCAGTCAAACATCCTTCTTCTTCTTGGGCAAGGACCAACTTGATTTCTGTGTACAGCTCCCCAGAAAACGGTTTCCATGCAAAGTTTCTCCTTCTTCCCACTTATACCTGAAATAGAATTAGAAATGACAGGGAGACTTTGCTTCCCAGCTTGTATTGTTTTATATTATTTGTGGGGCGTGTTTGTGGGGAGTGTTTGCGTTATTAAGTTTGTTATGAATTAAAAATCATTTTAAGTTAGAGCTTAATAATTATTTCACTAGTAATATACTTCTTAATTGTATTTCACTATTAATATACTTCTTAATTGTATTTCACTATTAATATACTTCTTCTTAATTGTATTTCAGTTCAACAATTACTTTGATAAAATACATATTTTGCTATGTGCAAATGGTTTTAGATACCTATTAGGTCCATAAAGGTAAAGGTAAAAAGGTAAAGGACCCCTGGATGGTTTCTCCTTCTTCCCACTTATACCTGAACTAGAATTAGAAATGACAGGGAGACTTTGCTTCCCAGCTTGTATTGTTTTATATTATTTGTGGGGAGCGTGTTGTCTTAGCACTTTCAGGGATAGGGTTTTATTTCTTTGTTGAGCATATGGGTACATTGGTTTTAAATCCCTGAGGAACACCTGATTCCGACCATGCAGAAAGAGACAGGCCTCCTGTGGGCGACGGATTTAAAAATGTGCTCCGTGATTGTGAGTATGCTTAGAAAGATAGAGCTGTGAGTGGATGGGAAGCAGGGAGAAAGGGGAATGTCTAAGCATGTATGGGACAGGCATGTTCCACCATGCTCTGCCCCCTGGTATGGATGAAATATGGTGGGTGTAAATGCAACTAAAATTGCTACATTACAAACGATGCTTTGTTCAGTGTGGGCATGGCAGCACCCTCTCACAAAAGCGGAGAGAGAACAACAAGAAAGTCGTAGGAGTCTTCCATGCTGAAGTCATTCTCAAACCTGGTTAGAAACCCACTGCCGGATTTACGTATAAGCTAAACGAGCTATAGCTTAGGGCCCCACTCTTTTGGGGGGCCCCCAAAAAATTAAAGGAAAAAAGTGTTTGCGTTATTAAGTTTGTTATGAATAAAAAATCATTTTAAGTTAGAGCTTAATAATTATTTCACTAGTAATATACTTCTTAATTGTATTTCACTATTAATATACTTCTTCTTAATTGTATTTCACTATTTATATACTTCTTCTTAATTGTATTTCAGTTCAACAATTACTTTGATAAAGTACATATTTTGCTATGTGCAAATGGCTTTAGATACCTATTAGGTCCATAAAGGTAAAGGTAAAAAGGTAAAGGACCCCTGGATGGTTAAGTCCAGTCAAAGGCAACTATGGGGTTGCAGTGCTTATCTTGCTTTCAGGCTGAGGGAGCCGGTGTTTGTCCACAGACAGCTTTGCAAGTCATGTGGCCAGCATGACCAAACCGCTTCTGGCACAACGGGACACCGTGACAGAAGCCAGAGTGCATGGAAACACTGTTTACCTTCCCGCCACAGTGGTACCTATTTATCTACTTGCACTGGCATGCTTTCAAACTACTAGGTTGGCAGGAGCTGGGACAGAGCAACAGGAGCTCACCCCATTGTGGGGATTCAAACTGCCGACCTTCTGATTGCAAGTCCAAGAGGCTCAGTGGTTTAGACCACAGCGCCACCCGCATCCATAAATTAGGTCCACAAATTAGCATATAGCATATTCAACACACAAAAAAGCGACAAATTGTTGTTGACAAAGGACAGCTGGACATATAAAGGGCTCCATTACCTTCAGTAGCTTAGGGCCTCATCAAACCTAAATCCGGCCCTGTAGAAACCTGATCATCTGATTTGTAAACTCTTCCCTTAAATCCCAGATGGTGGATTAGAGCAAGGCAGTTATACCACTACCAACTCAGGAATAAATATTTTTCAAGAAATTTACTGCAAGGACTTCAGTAGCAAACTGTCATAACAGATTAATAAATGAGCAATTTTACCTTCATCTGCAATTATGAGCAATTAGAGAAATTATCTAAGATGCTTAAGTGAGCCTTCTCATTCTTATTTTTTGAATTCAATTGAATATAATTTTCAAACCTTTATTTAGGGTGAATCAGAATGATTAGAGTACTCAATCACATTTTTAGTCATAGTTTCCAGTAACTTCAAGGATTGATTTCTCCCATAGATCATTGTTCCTTTGTTCATAATGGAATTCAACTTATCTGTGCTTTACTTACTAAACGTTTTGAGTGATGCAAATAGTCCTGAAGGCAAGGCGTTCCTGCTGATTGTTATATTTTTGAATGCAGCATTCTTATGGTTCAGTCCTATACATGCCCACAAGGAAGTAAATTCTATTGAGTTCAGTGGGGCTCACTCCCAGGTAAGTGGGCATACATTTCCAAGGGTATAGGACACTCAGTGGGTATAGGATTGGTACTTGCATAAGATTGCGCTGTGAAAAACCGATCAAGTAGCAAGCTTGAATAAACAAAGGCAATGGCCCTATCTGTACTTCACATTCTCATACCACTTAAACGGTCATGGCTTCCCCCCAAAGAATCCTGGGAACTGTAGTTTGCTAAGGGTGCCAAGAATTGTTAGGAGACCCCTGTTCCCAGGGAACTCTGGGAATTGTAGCTCTGTGGAGGAAAACTCCAGGGAGGTGAAAGGAGGGGTGATGTCTGTCATCCCTGCCTTTGTGACAGTAGCCCACTCAGGACAAAGATGAGGTAAGTTCAAATGGATCCTTATGACCATTCCCATGGACTGCAGGAGTGCTTCCTTTAGTTTTTGGGCTCCTCCAACTAAAGCACATTCTGCAAAGATCTGGCTTTCCAATGCAGCTGTGAAAGCACTCAACAAAAGTCATGTTAAGCATGTAATGTTTCTAACAGAGCAAGTGACCAGCTTCCATCCATACTCTCCTGTTAACCTAAGAAAAGTGTGCCATCTCGTGGAGGACAAAGAGCCTCAGCCTTCTGATTTATTCTGTCGCATGCCTCATTTGATCTGCTTGCCCCCAGGTTAACATTTAATTATGTTGCGCAAAATGCATTGAGAATAATTGCAGGTTGCGGGTATCAGTCAACATTAAAATCCTTTCGAGGGAATTTATTTTTATAACCTTGCCTATTAGAAAAATGTACAGAACTCAGCACAGAACTTGACAGCACTGACAGACCTCCTCTAAGCAGCGATAAAGTGTCAAAGTCACACTCCCTTTCCATGTGGATTTGAAGAATATATATTTGGGGATGTAATGCCTAAAGAACAAGGTTTTCAGTAGGATATTTATTTTTAAGAGCACAAAAAGCTGCCTTTCCCCCAGGCCAGATAGTTGGGCTACCTAGCACAGCGTACAGAGACTGGTGGATGTTGTCTGGGACAAGGAAAGGGCTGAACTACAGCTCCCCCCATCCACAACTACTGACCACACTGAGTGAGATGGGTGGGAGTTGGAGTGCAACAACATCTGGAGGATTCTCCATCCCTGATCTAGGGCTTTAATCTTCTCTAGCCCTTTCTAGTCTCAGGCCACACCTGGAATCCTGTGTCCAGTTCTGGGCGCCACAATTTAAGAAGGATATACAAGCTGGAATGTGCGTGGAGGAGGGCAACCAAGATGATCAAGGATCATCTGGAAACCAAGTCCTACTAGGAACAGTTGAGGGAGTTGGGCATCTTCAGCCTGGATAAGAGGAGACTGAGAGCAGATACCATGATAGCCATCTTCAAATATCAGGTGGAAGGTTGTAGCAGATGACAGGAATGACCTGTGCCTTAGAGCAGCCTAGGTAGACAAATAATCTGACTTTGTGTATGCTGTGTTCCTATGAATTAGGATTAGAGCTTCACCTGGTATGCCCTAAATGTCACTATCACCTACCCACTGGTAATACTCAGCTATAAAACTCAGAATGTCTCAAGCTCCAGGGTTTGAACTACAGTGAATTTTGACCTGATGACCTGAGGGATTTTAGGCTGGGGACAAAACTGTGTGTGCCTTTACCTGCAGCTCTGGCAAAAGGAGAGAATTGTGTAGAAACCAGGAAATGGGGAAGGGGATTGTTTTGTTTTGTTTTGTTTTGTTTTGTTTTGTTTTGGTTTGTGAATGTATTTTGTGTTTATATCTCGTATTTTTATGTTGTGAACTGCTCTGAGACCTATGAGATGAGGGATGGTATAAAAAATTAACTAATAATAATAATAATAATAATAATACAGTGGTACCTTGGGTTACAGACGCTTCAGGTTACAGACGCTTCAGGTTACAGACTCCGCTAACCCAGAAATAGTACCTCAGGTTAAGAACTTTGCTTCAGGATGAGAACAGAAATCGTGCTCGGGCGGCACAGCGGCAGCGGGAGACCCCATTAGCTAAAGTGGTACCTCAGGTTAAGAACAGTTTCAGGTTAAGAACGGACCTCCGGAACGAATTAAGTTCTTAACCTGAGGTACTACAGTAATACTGCACAGCAAAGTAAAGGTAAGATGATGAACTGGGAATGTTTGGTGTGTGAGGATTTTTATTTTTATTTTACTTGCAAATGTATGATCAGTAGTTGATCTTGGTGTGAGAAAAAAAGGAGGCAGCCTTGTTTTCATTCCCATCAGTTCTCACCAGCCAGCGCCACACTGTAGGAGGCATTCCTCAGAGCACAGCACTGATAATGATGTGCCTTTTCCTGACTATGAGCTATTGTGTACTGTGCGGAAAGGGAGATCAGCGGAGATTGTTTTCTGCAGTAGGTTTCCTGAGGACAAAAAGAGACACTGTTCCAATTTCTCTCTCCCAAGCCTTCAGCTTGGGAGGGATAGATTTAGGATTTGGAACTTTCTAACAGCTGGAGAAGTTGGGGTGAGACTTCAGTTTTCAACTTGGAAAAACCTAAACCTTTCAATTTATGCTTTCCAAGTACTTAAGCTGTATACACGCTAGTGGTTAACCTGACATTCCCACTGCTGGTTTTTGAGTCGATGTAAACATGATGTTAGCCAAGATCCACACGTATCTCAGAGTTTCTGCATTCTGATGTGGTTCCTCCCCAAAATAGGTTCATTCTGATTTGAAAACTGTCTGCTTTGTCAGTGTGTGGTGAATCCCAGGTGTGTACAAAGGAAAT